AATTAGTAAGAAATGAAACGAGCTCTTGTAAATAAAAAAATAAAAAAAAATAAAATATTTTAATTCTTTCGCTAACCACTTGAAGGAATTTTCCGAGCTTTGCAAGTTGCAAAATATAAAATGTTCCGTTACATTAGAACTCAGACTTATCTTACTATTAATATAAAGTTTTGGAAACATCTGAAATGATTTTCCTAGCCTTAATCCTTACAAGTTGCGAGAGTACACAATGGTCGGTTACACGCAGCTGAGCCCTGCCGTACTTGTTTGCTACACAGATAACATCTGAAAGTATTACTAAGCAAGTAAGAAAAGGCTTAGTTCGAGTTATCTGGAGGGTGAGTGGGATTAAATTTAGGGATCAAAATTTCATCCATTTTAACACCGTCGGTATAAGTTCTTGTAATATTTGATTTGGGTAAATTTTATGGCTTTAGTTGTTTAAGAAATATGTACATTGTACTTATTAGAGAGCGGGCCCATTAACGAACTCGTATTTTTTTGTACTAAGAAACCCGCACACCAAGTTTCATCAATATACCTCMATTTTTATTCAAGTTACAGCTTGCACGAACGTACGGAAAGACAGAGAGTCCCCCGCATTTCAACTTTTCTCGTCATCCTGGTCACTTATATACATATGTATATATAATTGTATATCTATCTTCCTTAGTTTTAAGTGAAACGTACAATCGTTATGTGAACAAAACTATTATACTCTGTAGCAAAAGGTTGCGAGAGTATAAAAGTGATTTCTCCTTTCTCGAAGTTACCTTCAGAAATCTAAATATTTGCCTTTGAACTGGAAATAGGCTTATTGAAAAACAATTTAACCTAGTGTTGTGCAGTGGTATTGGTATGTATGTATAGTAATTACCATATGTTATTTTTTTTTTTGTGTTATTGTAGTGTTGACATACGATCTGGAATAACTAAAACCGCAAGGAGGTGGTCAGATGAAAGTATATTTGGCAACCGAGCTTATTTTTTATTCGAGGCTAATCCTTGGGAACTAATTATTCGGAATAGCCAAATATCAGACACCGGTGTGTACAGATGTCGGGTTGATTTCATGAAAGCACAAACCTACAATAGTCGAGTTATGTTAATAATAATTGGTAAGATCTTTACTTGCAATATTATTATTTAAAGGTTAATGTCTTTTATTGTAGCGTTGCCTAAAGAAATCATCATAAGGGATGAAAATGGTTTTAAACGCTCAACGGTGGCTGGACCATACAATGTAGGCGATTTCGTGATACTTAAATGTGAAGCCATTGGAGGTAAATTAATAACATTAATTTAATTGTWGTAATTATAACCTTTTCGGGATTTTACTATTGTAACTAACTTGTGGTTATACTTATTTAATAATTTTTTTGCGAAAAAAAGGAGTTAGAATTTGTATCATATTCAGATTGAGCTTGTATTTAGWCTTGATGCTGCTCGTTTCTCCTAAGCAATTGAACAATATACACGAGATTTCTTAAGGAGTTATGTACTGATAGAATAAAAATATCGATATTTTTTAAATATTATCTTATTAATATGCATCCACACTGAAAATTTCATATTGCTCCGGTGAATATCACTTATTTCGGTCTTATGACGATATATAATCCCTTAAATGATTTGTTCATAGATTATGGAGTGGGAAGTTTAGATGAAATCCTGGAGATTTATTTATTGACAGTTATTGAGCAGCGAAGCTTCGAAATAAGAGTAAGTATTTAAGCGAGGAATTATAACAACATCGTTAAACATAGGAAAATGTGAAAGTGAACACTAATAAAGTTAAATTGTAAGTAAAACTATTATAAAGCCAGAATGACTATTATTAAAACGAATTTGCTGATACTGATTTCACTTCGATTTTTCCAAAGAATTACTAGCACATTTTCAGCCTATTATATTTTCTCTATTCAAACATATAAAACTAAGCAAGATAGATATAGATTTATTTAGTGGCGGATGCAAAGGGGGAAATGGGGAAATTTTAAATTACGCGGCTTGATAGAGAACTTGTAATAGATGCTGCTTTCAGCTCCATCTGTCATCTGTTCTATTGATACATACTCCGCGGTTTATCCTCCAAGCTTTCCAATATTACCATTATCAAATACGCTGCTTGTAGCTTTCCGAAAATGAAGGCAAAAAGATGGGGAACATTTCCGACACGAAAGAAATGGTGGTAGAACTGAAAATTTACGAAAACCAAGAATCTGCGGACGACACATCAAACGCGAAAATTTCTGTGTGAGAACTTGCGAATAAGTGTACATTCTCTGTGTACATTCCTCTGTTGGATACAGTCGTTGAAGAATTGCGGATTGTGGAGGATTGGCCCTTTGCATTCATCAAGCGGCAGGTCTGCCGTGTCGTATGGAAACAGAGAAAGAGTTAATGCGAAACACCTAACACACGATCMCATCGCTCAGCCTACTGATGTGAACGCGACAAATTGTATTTTTAGACAGCCCCTTTTGTGAGGGCTAATCGTTAAGCTTAGTCAGCCGGAACGATTTAGTAAAG